AATCTATAACCCAAAAACAGAAATCAAAATAGACTCAATTTGAACGGATATCCCAAACCTGCCCTTATCTAGTGGGTAAGTTACCTACTATCCATTATTCGATGGTTTGGTACATCAATGTACCCGAAGGGACTGGACTAGAGATAATTAATTAATTAATCAATAATGGAGACAAATTTGTTAGGAGAGTAGAAAGAAAGTGGGGTCTTAGGGTTCCCTCACTCTTCTCTGTCGTTTTGATTTCCAACAAAAGTCTCCCCCTCTACAGTCTCTCAAGAGCCGGAGGAGTCCCACTGAGACCAAGAGAGAAAAGTTTCCCCCACCTTCTTTGTCTCTTCCTCTCCCTCTCTCTCTTCTTTATAGACACATCAACAAAGAGCGAGAAAGAAGAAGATGGGTAAGTCAAGGTGTTTCATGGACATTAGCATTGGTGGTGAACTCGAAGGTAGAATCATCATCGACCTTTATGATGACGTCGTCCCCAAAACCGCCGCGAATTTCCGATCCCTCTGCACCGGAGAGAAAGGCATCGGTCCCAACACCGGCGTCCCTCTCCACTACAAGGTCTCTCTCTCCCTCTAGCAAAAATGTTATTTTTCTGAGATAGATTTAGGTTTTGTAGTTTAATGGGTCACTCTTCTCTGCTTTAAAAGCTTCTGCCTTTGTATCAGGGGATGATGAAACCGTATAAAGTTGCGTCCTTTATGATATTTTTGTTTCAGGGTTTGATGTAAAATCGTATAAAGTTGGTTTCTTTATGGTGTATTTGTTTCAGAGGATGTATAAAGTTGTGTCCTTTATGATGTTTTTGTTTCAGGGTATGTATGTAATCGTATAAAGTTGGTTTCTTTATGGTGTTTTTGTCGTTTCAGGGGAATCGGTTTCATCGTGTAATCAAAGGGTTTATGATTCAAGGTGGGGACATATCAGCTAATGATGGGACTGGTGGTGAGTCTATCTACGGGTTGAAGTTTGATGATGAGAACTTTGAGATGAAACACGAGAGGAAAGGGATGCTCTCTATGGCTAACTCTGGACCCAACACTAATGGCTCTCAGTTTTTCATCACCACCACTCGCACTTCTCATCTTGATGGGAAACATGTTGTGTTCGGAAAGGTTACCAAAGGGATGGGAGTGGTTCGTTCCATTGAGCATGTTGCCACCACTGAGGAAAATGCTTGTCCTTGTCAGGATGTTGTGATTCATGACTGTGGGGTGATTCCTGAGGGTGAAGATGATGGGGTATGTAACTTTTTCAAGGACGGTGATGTGTTCCCTGACTGGCCTGTTGATCTGAATGAAAGCCCTGTGGAATTGTCTTGGTGGATGGAGACTGTTGATTCTGTTAAGGCTAGTGGTAATGAGCATTTTAAGGTGTTGCTTTTTTTCCTCTCAACGTGTTTTTGAATTTGATTATATATGCTTCAGATTTTTCATTTTCGTTTGAATCTTACTTTATAGAAACAAGACTACAAGATGGCTCTTAGAAAGTACCGCAAGGCTTTGCGTTATCTGGATGTTTGCTGGGAGAAAGATGGCATTGATCAAGGTTATTCATCATCTTCTCTCTCTCTATATATATATACATATTTGTTTTCCATTTACTGCACAAGCCAATGTCTCTTACTCATTCTCTGTACTTGTGATCGTGCAGAGACGAGCACTGCCTTACGCAAGACAAAGTCACAAATCTTCACTAACAGTGCTGTAAGTTTACCTATTCTTTCCAGCTAGGCTTGCTTCAGCTTCCCTCTATAACAGATTTGATTGTACTCTATTTGTATTGTAACTGGCTCCTGTGGCAGGCCTGCAAACTGAAATTTGGAGATGCAAAAGGAGCATTGTTGGACACTGAATTTGCTATGCGTGATGAAGATAACAATGTCAAAGCATTGTTTCGACAAGGCCAGGTACTCAAAAGGATTTATTGTTCGACCAGTCTTCTATAATCTAGGCCTATGGCAGATAATTATGGATTTTCTCTTGATATTAATATGATATTTTCGTTGGTAAATGCTAGGCATACATGGCTCTCAATAACATCGATGCTGCTGCTGAAAGCCTTGAGAAAGCTCTTCAATTCGAACCTACCGATGGTGAGTCGTTTGGTTTTTTCTTGTTTGGTTTGTGGTTATTGGTGGAGAAATCTAACGAGCATGGTACCTGATGTTGATTTTCAGCTGGTCTTAAGAAAGAATATGCTGCTGTAATGAAAAAGGTAAGTTGATGTTTGCTTTGCACTGACTTTATTTCTAGCATCAATGTCTCTTAACCGATGTTGATAATTTAAGGTCTATATATGTGTGCAGATTGCTATTAGAGACAGTGAAGAGAAAAAGCAATACCGCAAAATGTTTGGATAGAATGTTCCCTTACCTTTTAGGGGTAAGCCTCAAGCCACCAGAAAATTATTTTCTTGATGGTAAATGATTTTGATGTTTAAGCTTCTACTTCGCTGTTTTGTAGGGTTGGTTGGATAGTGGAGAAGAGACTAACAAACAAACAAAAAGGCGAAAGGAGCATATAAAAGAAAGAAATTATTCAAAACAAGACTTTGGGAAGTGTTTCTGTTTCCCTCATTATGGTCAACAATGTTTACTTGTGCGTTTTCCAGCAAAGACTGAAGCAATGAGATGATTAATGCAGTTTTGTGTTATTGCTTCCTTCCCCCCCCCATTTTCTCTTTCTTTGCATGAATTACGTGTTAGGAAATATGGAGAAATTATCGGAAAATAGGTACACAACGTTCTTGCGAAATTGTTGTTGCATGGTACAGAGAACTAATACATATATGTTACGACTTACAAGTGGTGAATAGTCACTTCCTTACAATAGAATGAAAGAAGAAAGACGCAGTGGTTACTTATTAAGTACCCCAAAGAACTTAGAAGCCAAATATTTTCAACAATTTAGTTTATATTAGATCAAATGCGACAGAATCACAAAAGGAGTATAAGAATTTTCACTTGTATGATCCTCTTTAAGAGTATTCTCAGTGTGCTCTTATCCGTCCCTGTAGTGCCATTCTCTGTGGATGCTTCACTCTCGACTTTGGTTTCAACGCTTGTCTCCATTTTTCGTGTTTAAGAAAAAGAACTCTGGCGAATGTTGAATCAATATTTTATATTTTGTATCGACACTTCTAGATATGATATTTCTAACACGTTCTTAATAAATCGATATATATATAGTTAACACATATGATAGTCTAAATACTTCCTTTTAAAAACATCCCATAAAGTAATTTAAATGACTTTAATTGAACGAAATACGTCAATGGAAAATTATAATAATACAAATTTGTAAAATAAACAACTCCATGGGCCATGACTAATATGCTGGCAAACCATGGCTAAATAATCAATGACAAATGGTAGTTAGACTATCCATTGATGACCAGGGAAATGGCTAGACATTTGCAAATCATTAAAAAAATTATTATATTTCCCGTTGTTGATATCTGTCAAATTAGCCTTCAAAAATGTGTACCAGTGCCTCTTGCCGTTCAAATAACAAAAAGTAAATAACATGTTTTAAAGGCCTGGCCAAAACATCTTTGAGTATTTTTTTGTTTTGTCACAACATCTCTAATATATCAGCATTGGACATATGTATAGGTGAAGTGTAATACCAAAGTCAAAAATTGTGAGCCGTGTACAACCGTTTAGACGTTGACGTTTTGATAAAATTATATCCGCAATTCTAAAGTTCGTTTATTATAATAATGATCATCGACCGCGACTTATGCGTACGCATAATAATAAATTAAAAACTTCGATTATTATCAAATAGCAGAAACGAGAACAGCATGCAAACATTATGGTGTTAAGAAAAATATATACAACAAGGAATATGTGTTTTTTTGTTAATAAATATTTTCTTATTGTTCGCTCAATCAGGTATTTGGAGGAATCTAGCGGCCATTAGAGCATCTCCAATGTAAAACTCTATTTTTTCCTCCAAAATGGAGTAAAAGTGATTATGGAGTGAAAATGTTCCAACCTTACTCTATTTCCAATTCCATAATGGAGTAGTGAACAAAGAAAAAATAGATTACTCTATTTATGGAATAAATCTCATTATGGAGTAAGATATAGAGTGGGGTTCGAGCATATTTTATTTCATAATCACTTTTACTCCATTTTGAAGTAAAAAATGGAGTTAGGTTGGAGATGCCCTTAGTTTGACAATTACATGCATTAATCACGTAGAGAAAACAATTCGAGGGAAGCCATCTCTATTGAACATGGAAAATCAATTAAATTAGATTTATTTCATTACAGTACAAAAACCTCCAAAAGAAGTCAATATTCATAAAATAAAAAAGATCACAATTAAACTTTTGCTGCTTGATAAATCGAACCTTTTCCCCACGTGAGTTTGACCAGTCGTTTTTAGTTCATTTCTCTCTTGTGGTGAAAAACTTAATATATACATGAATTTATGTCCAGTAATTAAGCCATTCAGATTATATATCCAAAACGTCTTGGACCTTGATTCATAACCTTGTCGCATAATCGCACCAAATGACCAAATAAGGTTATCTAAACCTTATTATACGCTCGCATAATCGCACCAAAAAAAACAAATAAGGTTACATTAAAAATCGAATCTAAACCATTTAAATTATTCAAAATTAACTAATATTCTTTGTGAAATTTTGGTTAGAAGTTCTTGGTGAAAAGGTTTTGTTTAACCGGAAGTAGATAATAAAGCTATGCTTTGAAGAGTTGAAACCAAATGAATAACGGCCACCGGAAACCAAATTCTTTTAAGAGACTAACGTAAAAAAAAAGAAGATTGTAGCTTACATTAAAAATCAAATCAAATTATAAAGTGTGGCAAACCTATGCAAATTTATGTTTGGAAAGATGTAAGGTCTAATAATTGTAGAAACCTCTTGATATATAAAATAAAAATGTTTGGTCCAAGAAAACATAGAATAATTAAATCAGAACCCACGAAGTAGGTGAGACTTATAAAGGCAGCTCCTAATTCAATCACAATTCATTTCTCCATCTCTCTCTCTAAAGTCAAGCCTTTCGTGTGAAAGGGAACACCTTCCAAGAACAAGAAAGGCAAAAGAAAGAAGGGAGCATCCAAAGAAGAAGAAAACTCCAGTAATGGAGACAGAAACATCAACAGAACTAAATTTCGACAGCACAACTTCATCTCCATACATAACAGCTCCATCAAGCCCAACTCGATTTGGAATCAACAATGCTTTCTTCTTCAGTGCACCCACAAGCCCTTCACCATCAACTTCCTCCAAGAAGAGATCAGCCAGCGATATTGATGACAATTTCGAGTTCAATTTCAGTGGTCAGCTGGATATAACTGCTTTCTCTGCTGCCGATGAGCTCTTTGATGGAGGAAAGATTCGTCCTCTAGGTCCCTCACTTCCTCCCACTACTGTTTCTTCTCCCAGATCTAGTTTTATTGAGAGACAAGATTCTGATAGAGGAAGAGACCGGTCTCCTGTATCTTCTACGCGTTATGAACGTAAAGGAAGCCGTTCTATGTCTCCCTTGAGGGTTTCAGACATTATGGTTGATGAGGATGAATCACATGAGTCAACAAAAATGGTTGCTTCTAACACAAGCAACCAAAAATCCTCTGCTTTCTTGTCAGCGATTCTGTTCCCTGGTCGAGCGTATAAAAAGTGGAAACTCAAGGATCTGTTGTTATTCAGGAGTGCATCCGATGGAAGACCGGTTCCAACCAAAGAGTCCTTGAAAAGATATGATATCCTTACAAAGAAAGAAGCTGAAAATTCGAGTATCAGATCAAGGGAGAGTGCTGATTCGCCGGTGTCTAGGTCGAGGAGGAGGCATGGTGCAGTGGTTTCGGCCCATGAGATGCATTACACTGAGAACAGAGCAGTTTCGGAGGAGTTGAAGAGGAAGACATTCTTGCCATACAAGCAAGGCTGGTTAGGCTGCTTAGGGTTTAACCCTGCGGCCCATGAAATTGCAAGAGTTGGGTCCTTGTCACGTGCTTCCTCTTGATCCTTCTTGTACTTTTTTATTTATATATTATTTTTTGATGGCTTTAATTTTCAAATGTGGTGGTGAAAAAATCAAATCCATCAACTTGATGGAAATATATGATTTTGTTAATTCTTAAAACGCTTCATACAAATGATAAAAGAAATTTAAAAATCAAATGTAAAATTGGCTAAGAAGTATTTCGGCTGATTTCATCCATTCGTTGAGGGTTGTGACTTGTCAATTGGATAATTAGTTGACTATTTAGATACTAAACAGTAACAAGAAAGCACATATTTAACGAATTGCTCGGCCATACAATCAAGATCGGTCATGTACCAAACATATTAGAAACATTCGTCTCATGCCTCTGAAATTTTTGAAAAAAATTATATGTATATAGGTCTCAAAGAAAAAAAAATTTAAGGCCCCAAATAAGTTTTAAAAAAATTTTAGTTGAAATTTTTTTTAAAAAAATAGTCTGGATCTCCAAAATCCGGTCCTACATGATTCAAGTCTAGTTTAGTGCTCATTGTTTTCACGACCTTCTTATTTATATAGTTCTCCAGTTTTAAAATCAGATAGAGTAAATGGTTCTTTAGTTTACCGATAAGAGCATCAGTAACTCCTAAATTGTAGTGAATTAAAATATGAGGCAACAATGAGGCTGAGCCGAAAGAGGGAATAGTAAAAGAAGAAATGCAATGCTCCTTAATCATGAGGTTTGTGCAATAATAGTGGTAATGATGCTCTTAAGAGAATAAAGGCCGTGGACCACCTATAAAATGATAATAAATGCTATATAGTTAACATTTGATTAAGTAACTGATGACAACCCAATATGAGTTAATAACTTTACTACTGCATCTAAAGCTGCAATGATGAATTCATGGGGCAACGCCTGGCGTTTACCTTTTTTCTTAATGTAATTTTGTCAACTTTTTCTTAATGTTTGTTAATCAAGAAATTGTGATTTTAAGTTTTATATCTAATGATACTTTCGAGATATTGAAGATAAAGAAATGAGAATTATTGTAATGTTATAAACGTAGAATAACTCCTAATGTTATAATAGTCCTCATGGCAAATGGAGTATATTTGTAAATAACTAATTCTCATGTTTAAACATTTATGATCTGAATCAAAAAATAATTGAACGGCGACAGATAAAATTAAGATATGATCAGAGAGGTGGGTGACCATTTATTAAGATGTTTGATACAACTTTGATTAGACAGGTTTTATTATGACTATTCTTAATTGTAATTTAAGTTTGTACTCGATTAAGTATTAATGTACCAGACACTTCAATACTACATTATACAGTTAATGCCACATTAGAAAATTTATTGTTACATTCTAGTAGATGCTTCTTCGAGCAGTACAAGATCTTTTCTTCTTCGCTATGCTTTTCAAGCTGCAATTTACATGGATGGAGAGGAACGCTTGACGAGTTGGGGACAGCACGCAATCTTCCACGCTGTTACTAAAATTGCTTGACAAACAAGTCTGAAACAGAATCCCGTCAGTGAGAAGTGGAGGAATAGCTCGGTATGTGGTACAGCTATGGATATGTGGCTTACAGGTCGATGATCACCTAAAGTAACAGATACATATAAAACAAAGGCAATGGCCAATTATTAAATTTTTTTCTTCCAAACTATTGAAGCATTTATTGTAAAAAAATTTCGTGATGAAATAAATTTTACACTCATTTAAAAAAAAACTATTGTTAAGAGAATATGAACATCGATGAAAATGTGTCCAACGAATATCATATTCATGTATTTATTGTATTAATAATCTTTTGACTTATGATCTCGACATCAAACGTGTAGTAATTTACAATCTATTAAACAAACGTAAGTGGTATTCATAGTTATCGTTTGATCCACGGAATCATCTTACATATTAGATTTTTCTTACATATTTGAAATCAGCCACCCTTGGTTTAACGTGTATCCAAATTTAGTGAATATGTGATCATAATTTATATTATATTCAAAGATTATATGTGCTTTCATAGAGATTTTATCGTATGCTCACACCTCATCATATTATGATGACTTATGTTTTACTTAATTAATCAAAAAAAAGGAAAAACGTATTTGTTGAATTTTATTGTTCCATATTAGATTATTTCGGAAACTAAAAAGAAATGATCTTTGATAATTGACTGGAGTAGTTTGATTCATTCGTAGAAAAACTTTGTTGTTGGGTCAGTTGGTTCTGGGCTCCCGCTCAGATGAATTAAGTGCTGTGGCTGTATATATTTCCATTGGATTTGCCCATCTCCAAATGATTGAGTTCGATAGTAGTCACCGAGTTATATACAAAATTGTTTATGGGAAAACTTAAATTACCATGTATCTAGAAACTTTCTGAAGGACGAAAAGTTGTGTATTATAAATTAAATGATAATAATAAAAGTCAAGAATGAGATATAGCTGTACGGGTTGACAAAAAACAGATATAGCTGTACGTTTTACAACTATTTTTTATTCAGCAGACATAACCCCCATGGCCGCCGAGAAAGAAAATTTTGAAGTTTCAGACAAAGGTTGTTTTTACGTATATTATTTGACATAACTAAACCAGCTTTTATTCCAAAAAAAATACTGAACCAGTTTAATCAACTACTCTGGGAGGGGGAGGGGGGGGGGAGACAATGGCCTTCGCCAGTATTCTTACCGGAAGGATTTCCTCTTGCGCTTCTCACCCTAAACATGTCGCTTTCTGTACGATATGAGAGATAAAAGTCTCCCACATCAGAAGTTGTAAGAGACATTAACTAATATATAAGATATATAAACCATTCCATATTATTACCAATTGATTTTAAGTTAGAAAATCATCTAATTTAACACACGATGCATAACTTTAGAAAAAAAGGGTGAGTTTCAATGAAAACAATGTTATCTAAAATTTGTAACACACTAGTTAAGTTCAGCAAGTAAGTCAGAAGAACAGGTAAATTTTAGTGACAACATAAGAATGACTCTTGGAATACCAACTCAAACTCCTAAATCCTTTCTCAATTCAAGCTTACGAGTCTTGTTTGATGAAGAACAAACTGAAGAAAAAGCTCAAAGCATCTTTAATCATTCATCAAGTTACATAACAAATACTATTTTATAACAGGATAATTTTATGTGGTGATATATGTATGTCAATGTCATTACAGTCATTCTTTTTCCTTTATCTATCAGTCAATGATAGTATATCCTACTATTCTTGCCTCCTACTTCTTTGCCTCACATGTGAGAGGGTTTGTCATCTTTGCTACCTTTTTACTTTCTCATAACTCAAGATTCCGGTTTCTGGGAGGGTTTGATTTGGGACCCTGAGTCCTCCTTTCATTTTTCTAGTGCCCATGCTAGAGACATAACATCCTCCATGGTTCTGTATTAGTATTGAGTTATCTCGTTGTAAGAATTGTTGGTGTCAAAATCGGTCACGACGGAATTAATGGCTAAAAGTCTCCACAAAAAAAAAAAAATACATTTTATAAAACTCGAGAGATCGTTTTATAAAACTCGAAAAATCGTTTTATAAAACTCGATAAATCGTTTTATAAAACTCGAAGAATCGTTTTATAAAACTCGAAGAATCGTTTTATAAAACTCGAAGAATCGTTTTATAAAACTCGATAAATCGTTTTATAAAACTCGAGAAATCATTTTATAAATCCAAAGAGATTTCCGAACAAAGGAAATCTGCGGAAAACTCAGAAGATCGTTATCTCAGAAAAACAAAACAAACGTCGATTACACGATCATCCGAATTAAGCACAAAACCGCGAAAAACCAAAACCGCCGTAAAACGCGAACTAGTCTCATCCCGACTAGTTCGCCCAACGGCGAACTAAGCCGGAACTAGTCTCGTCCCGACTAGTTCGCCCAACGGCGAGCTAATCCAGCCGGCTTAGTTCGCCGTTGGGCGAACTAGAAGCTTCCCAAGAGGCGCTGACTTTGCCCTAAGGGTTCTTATCGCCTAGCTCGCCATACGTCGACCTGGCCAAGTTGAACTAGCTCGCCGTACGTCGATCCGACCATCCTGAGCCTCGATCTCCCACGTCCTTGATTCAAGGCATACGTCCTTCGACACGATCGTATTCCGAATCACGGTCGAAATGTCTCCCCTTTCGTCTCGATCTGTCATATCGTTCGAGTTTTACGATAAAAACCGTAAAACTTTGTTTTCTCGAAAAGAACTCGAGAAAATCGTATAAAACGGCAACGGTTAAACGAAACACCGAATATTGCCTAAACTATACGATTTATTCGAGATTTTTCGTAAAATCATACAAAACGCGTTTTCAATAAAACCCCGAGTAAATCGTAGAAAACAGCAACGATTAATCAAAACATCGAACATTGCCTAGCTTTACGATTAACTCGAGAAACTTATCTAAAAAAAACGGCATCGTATCAGGAAACAATCTCGTCTAAAGTCGTAAAACGGATTTATCGCAAAACGGCTCGGAAAGTCCTAAAACGCGATAAAAGCCACTCGCGACTTTAAAACGAATCTAACCCAAAGATACAACGACGTTTTGGCGATTTACTCGTAGAAAGAAGGGTAAATGTCAAACTTGAAGATAAATGTCAAGTTTGAGGATAAATGGAAGATTCCCGATAAACTCGAATCTGGGCGAAATGGAAAGACTAAACCGCCTAGGAAGGGAGTATATAAGCACGAGGCATAGGGCAGAAGCAGAGGGACGAATTTCAGAGCTCTCATCTGAGACTTTTACAACTTTTCTAGACTTAAAATTTTCCGCACTTAGAAACTTAGGCTTTTTTCTCGACAAGTTCGGTTTCTATGACTGGCGCTCAATTACTAGACGAACTCGCCTAGGCGGTTCGATCTCTGGTCCAGCTCTATCAACTGAACTACGTTCGACTTGATCCTCGAAAGGGGTACGTATGTAGCCTTTCATATGGTTCAGTCCGAAATCAATCAAATCCTTTTTCTAATCTTTTTCCGTCTTTTGTTATCGAGCTGCGACTCGATTAGGTTTAAGGTTTTTATGTTGATAACTCGCTGATGACCCTGCGGCCAAAGCCTTTGTAAACCTTTGTAATGATTGCAACGCTCTTACGCGAAATCGAAATAAGGTATACTTTTTCTTTAAATTCTTTTTATTACGTTTTTCACATTTTTCCGCATTTATTTGGTTACTTTTCGTTGGCTTTCGCAGAGATCC